GACCCGACTAGTTGGTTTAGTGTGTTTGTCGGATTAACATCGGATTGAGTTGGCCCGATTCAGCATTTAAAATTCGTGTTGGGCATTAGCTGAAGAGAGCGCTCTAATTGGTTAGAATTCAGAGCACAAAACAAAAACTGAAGTGACGTAACAAAGTAAACAATTCAAGTAAAGGGAGAACACAAACAGGTCGGCTGTAATTTTGCTACATTTCTCAAGTGTTTGCAAATGATATGGATTATCAGACATATTTGCATGAGTGAACCTCTCTGTACTAACCACTGCTTTATTTATGCTTTGTTTATGGTTATGGTGGCTGAAAAAAACAGCCTATTAGCCCCCACGGGTATGGAAAAAGACATGTCATTGACGCAGGTGCAGTGAAAAGGCGGGCCTTTAAAATTTTCATGAAACTGAAGCTATACATCTTCTTGATTGTGTTGTATAAAATAAAAACTGACCATATTTCCGACCTTTTCTTACAAACTAAACTGTTCCGCCTAAAACTTAAGTAGTGGCATCTTCTAATTGTGTCATTTAAAATAAAAACTGGCCCTAACTTACTTCCAAGTATTTTTGGGAAAACTAGGTCCCACCTTTTTACTTTAAAAAGTATTGGTGAAGCAAAGGTAGTAACATGTCATTCTATCTGTATTTTAATGTACATCTAAATAAAAAAGACCATCAGAGAAATTTTACCTTTTTATTTTATTTTTATTTTGTTTCTGTTAAAATTGTGATGAAACAAAAGTGGCGGCATCTTCTTATTTATGTATAAAATACAAACTGACTGCATTTACTATGTATTTATACATTAACTGGCTAATCTTATTCGGGAAAATTAGGTTCTGCCATTTGTTGGTAAAGTCATGAAAACACTGTAAAAGAAGCATCATCTCCGTTTTGATGGATGCAATAAAAACTGATCATTTTTATATCCTAGACTTCCCACCAGGTTTAGTGTTACAGAAACAGAAAACATGTCATTCTGTCTGTATTTTGATCAGAGAACAAAACATCTAAAAAATAATATTAATTATATGCTTTTATGTGTTATACAGAACAAAGGTGCAGCAGCAGGGCCAACAGTTGGAGGAGCTGGAGACTTTGAAAGCAGAAAATGCAGACCTGAGACAAGTAAGAGTACAATTTATGAGAATAAAGTCTTAAAGTATTAAATAATTCTAATAACTTGTTTTGTAAATTGTGCTTATTAGCAAATAGCTGAGCTCAACTTACAGGTAGGAACCCTTTCTCACTCTGAGAGTGAGTTGCTGGACACCAACAACAGACTGAGAGAAAGTCTGGAGCGTGTGAGAGAGGACCTGCGCAGTGCTCGAACACAAATGGAACGGACCCAACAGGAAGCCGAGAGGTACACCTTATCATAAACCTGGCCACTGGCAACATTCAAATAAGGACTAAAAATATTTCAGAGAATGCTGACAGCTTGCTGAGTGAGCATCAAAACAGCTTAGAGGCTTAAATACAGATCAATTTGGTTTCAGAGAAAGGTTTAACTTCACCTATAAAAGTGCTTGATAGACAATTTTCCCTTCAATGACAAATAAGGGTGATTTGTTCATAATGGTATTGGAATGTTTTTTAGCTAACACAAAATCCTACAAAGGTGCCAGATAATCATTTGTGAATATACACTGGACATATCCTTGGCACTCTTATCACACCACAATTGTTTGTCATTTGTGTCAGTATGTGATAGAAAATGAGGCAACAGTTCACTGTCTCAGATTTGTCTCTTGCAAGTTTCCACATCCACTGTATGCAGAATACCTGTTTAAATAAATGTGTAGAAACAGTGTCAGTGCCATGGCCTAATTTTTACCACATATCATTCATTTTGAGTCTTGGAACAGTGGGCGATGCTATTCAGATCCAGCTAGTGACTTCCTGATTTCATTATTTCCCGTTTACTGACTAAACAGAAAAACATTTTGATCATTTTGAAACATTTGAAGAGAACGCAAACATTTTTATTTTATAAATGTTATCTTTATGTTAGTGTATCTTTTGAACATTTGCTTTTGTTAACAGTTTTTGGGCCAGTTGGCTTTTCTGTGTGGAGTTTGCATGTTCTTCCCATGCTTGCTTGGGTTTTTCCTAGGTGCTCCTGTTTTTCCCACAGTCCAAAGATAATGCTGTAAATTTAGTTAATTGGATTAACTAAATTGGCCTTAGGATCTGACTGTGTTTGACTGCGAGAGTGTTTGGGTGTTTCCCAGTACGGGGTTGTTTATTGTGGCAACCCCTGATAAATAAGGGACTAAGCCGAAGGAAAACGAATAAATAAATTTCAGTTTTTGTTTATTTTTGCATGGTGTTAAAAGCTTTAAATGATGTATTGTTCCAGGTTGGTGGAGGAAAGGCGAGTTGAATGGTTGGAGGAGAAACACAAGCTGCAAGACATAGAAGCAGAACTACGGGAGAAATACAGCCAGGCCAAAGAGCGCCTACAGAGGGCAGCATTTGCTCAGAAAAAGGTGAAGTTTAAAGTTTTTCTTTTATGAACATATTACAGCTTGACTCTCTTTTTGTTTGGTACAGTTATTTTAAATAATATATAACATCTTTTGGTCTGTTTTCTTATCCAGAGGAAAACAATGACTGAACTGAAAGAAAACAAACTCAAAGACAAGATTCAGCTCCTGGAAGCCAAGATAGCAGAACTTGAAATTGAAGCAAGTGCAGAAAAGAAGTAGGATACTTTTGTTTGCATATTGCTTCATACATTCAAAACTATCTAGAGGTTATATTTTAGTCAAATAAACAATAAAAAATTATACTTTGCTCATTTATTTTAAGTTATTTTTAAACAATTGATTTAAATATATTGTTATTAATTACATTCAAAATGCACAGTAAAATATTAAATTAAATATTTACATAAATGTGCTGTTTTATTAGTGTTTTTAATGTATCTTTTAGGAAATCCTCATATTCTGAAGAGCATGCTCAGCTCAGCAAGCGTTTAAGGGAGCTGCAGAGGAGGCACAATGAGTTTCGCCGACTGTTGCTGGGCAACCAGATGACCTCCTCCACCCCCCTGGCCCAATCCCTCCTCATCCCGAACGAATCCATCTTCTCAAACATACAGGTGTCTGTAAAATGAAATACTCTCTAGTCAGCCATAACTAAACCCAGCATATAAATCTATCTCTTTCTCCTACATTTCCTCTCTCAGGAGGAGCAGCACCAGAGGGAGTTGTGTGTGTTGCGGAGACGCTTAGAAGAGCTAGAAAACAGTCAGCAACAGCAGCTGGAAGAGCTTGCCGCTCCTCTGGACAGAGATAGAGAGAGACTGTCAAGCCCACGGGACGCCCTTCCAGACCTTTCTTAACCGCTACCTGTGTAATTATGTTTACTCTGTGCCAAAAAAAAAAAATCGGAGATACTGTGACATTTACTGTGACATTTTCCTTTAAATTACTCCTGGTGCTCTGCAACAGTAAAGGTCAGAGATGTTTTAATAAAAACCTGTTGCAATATTTATAATTTATTGGTCTGATGATATTTTTTCTAACTGGTTGAGAGGGTGGGTTCTTAAAGTTTACATAAAGTATAGCAGTTCTTGTTGTACATATTGAAAATGATTTGTAACAAGAAGCCATGTATGATATTTTGTTTGTTTGTTCCTTAGAAGACCTTTCAAGTCCAAATATACATTTTATAAAGAAAAGGAAACAAAACAAATAAAATGATTTGTGTAAACCTGAGGCTCATCTCTCAAAGTAAATTTTACAACGGAGTGACTGGTTTTAATGGACATTTGTGATAAATTAATTCTGAAAAGTATGTCTCTAAAAGCACTCAGCCATGAAACATGGTTTTAATAAAGATTTTTTAAATAATTGTGCCTCCTCTTGGTTTCTTATTTGCCTTTGTTTGAATAATGAGTAAACTATGGATATGGAAATATGCATGCATGCATCAATCAATCTATCTATCTATCTATCTATCTATCTATCTATCTATCTATCTATCTATCTATCTATCTATCTATCTATCTATCTATCTATCTATCTATCTATCTATCTATCTATCTATCTATATATGGGAAAATTGAATTGAATTAAAAGGTGTTTTAGTCAAGTGGCTGTTAAAAATTTAGCGAGCCTATGTTGACAGTATAAGTTCAAAGTATACTTCTTTGTGCATGCATCATTGAACATGCAGCATTTCAAAGTAGCATAAGGCTATGCTCTATTTACTTGCATGTGCATGTTGTAAGCAGGCCCTCATGTACTGCATAATTAAATAGCACACTTACGCTCCACAAATAAACACAAAATATGCAAAAATAATTTTGGTACTATTTATCAAATTTGTTCAATTTGAGTCATATGATTTCCTAATTTTGCCTAAACGACTGATTGGAAATAACAGCAATATTTGTTTTAGTTTTTAGCAACCTCGGGTGTTCAGCCTCAAAGCTAAAACACAATCTGTTTCAATTTATAGCTTTTTTTGTGTAAAATTAATTAACAAATTTCATATAAGCTTTTATAGATTTATTTGTTTATTAAATATAATATTTTTGTATTATTAATTATTAATTTCATATTATTAATTTATGGACATTTATTTTCCGGTCCATATGAAAATGAGCAAGAAAGACTTTAAACAATAAAACCACTGCATACATATAATTTAGACTTATAATTCTCTTAAAAATACAAAAGATGAAATTAAGATATTCCAGTAATAAAATACAATGTAATAAGTTAATTAAAATAAAACAAATCCAAGCAGCACTAGAGCATTAGATAAGAATGACTTTCAGTGGAGCATATCGTTTAAAATAAAAACATACGAATATAATATAATATAATAATATGACATATTACAATAGCCAAACACACACTAAAATACAAACTGCCATGAAAAGTGCAGAATACGCACGGTTTCTGTGAACCTTAAATATTTACTCATAAATCCTGCAAATGATGTGGGATATACAACTCCAAATTTATTGCTTTGCTAGACATTATAAGGACGTGCAGTAGATTTAGCTGTGCTGTGCTGACTCTGAGTGATGCGGTGGACACTTCACAGTCACTTTCACTCTTCTTCTGAGCGCTCAGTCCTCTCCTCGCGCGCATCTTCTGAAGCATCAAACAAACTAAATTATTTCTGTCACAACAGTCATGAAGTGGATCCTACTCGTGTTCGGCAGTGTGTGTCTACTGGATGTGGTTGAGGACTCGTTCGTGCACGGCAAGCGCAACGCGAGAACAGTGACTTTCTCTCGGACTGGCCGCGGTCAGTCGAGACGCAGACGGGACACCTGGACGACTGAAAAAGAGCGGTTCACCGAGTGCAATACTCCACTGTCGGTCAAAGACAGAGAGCTTCTGCGCAGCCACACACACGAGGTAAGAAGTTATTTATGTTGCCATTGCGCTTTTGACATTGAGAGGAATGTCAAAGAAGTGGGTGAATTTACTGTTAAATTGGCAAATGCTTGATTAGCGATTTACGATGATTTCTGTGCATGCAAGTCAGATATTTTATAATGTAACGGATAAATTTGCAATAAGATCATTATATATATATATATAT